CTCGAGGCCCACATGCAAAAATAGGAGGCAACAAAGGCCTCTAATCACCACAAACCACTCAAGGAAAGAAACAGCCCAATATAGTAAACAAGCTTATTATCCCTTTAAGTCTTTTGATTTCCTAAACCTAGGATTGCCAACACCAAGATAATAAACTAGCTTATTATCACTATTAACTAACTAAATTGGTAAAATCAACCGAGTCTCTATCATCACCACACGACTCTAGATCTGGAGCCTCCTTACCGTTTGCATAGGAATTGGATATTGTTGCTCAAAATCAAGAAGTATCTTGCAAGCACCCTTTTCACCATCTCGAAAGAACATACCAAAATCCCTTCCCACTTGTAGGCCCACCTCCACCATTTGGTCTATACTTAGGGGATGGACCTTGGGAGGGTGAATTTGGTCTAGACTCACATCCCCTGGTCCTGATTTAATAGTTCATCCGATGAAGAAGTACAATTGAGAATGTCAACTTTTGGAAAGTCTTAGATGTCATTCGATCATTAAAACTGGTAGCATAAGTAACTCAACCCCATTCTAGCTACAACTGGTTTGCAACTCATCAATAGGTAAACATGAGGAGAAACTGATCAAATGGTGGAAAAATTAAAAGGCGATTATATATATTAGATAAATTCAGTTGAATCATAAAATTATAAAAATTAAAATAAATCCAAAGCTCTCTTATTCAACACCAAGAAGAAAACACCCAGAAATTCAAAAACCACATAACATTAAGCAAATGGTGTAGTGGGCAGTTCAGAAGCCAAAATTGATCATATGATTCTACTACGTAGTAAAAACAGGTAGGATCATCTAAAAAGTTTCCATAATTGATATAACTAATTAAATCAAAAAACAAAAATAAGAAACCTTTTTTTTAATTATTTGATTTTTTTAAAGTATGCAAAATAAAATAAATCTACTCAGTCAAAATACTCAAAATATCAAAACTTGCATTTACAACAGTTCATGGGTAAGTACTAAGAATGAATGAAAATTAACTTGACCCAGCAAAAGTCAAAGGAGCTCTGGAGGATGGAAACTACTCTCCAGTCATCACCCTGGCTTTATGTGGGCATGCCTGAGATCAGTGGAGTCAAACTCACTCTGGAGTCAGCAAGCTGTGTTGGTTGAAGTTCAGAAGTGGTGGTTGCTGCTTTGTCAATGACAAGTCGATGGACACTGAGACTCTCATTGTGTCGGTGACTTATCCAACTATTTTCTCCGTGGCAAGAGTTTAGGTGACACGTGAGGGAAATCAGTTTTTCATGTGTATAAGTTTCCAGAGAAACCGATCAGACTCAAAAGTTATTTAATGCTAGATTCCCACTTGAGAAAATGGGCAAGGCCAAAAACCAGTAACATCATATCATTTCAACCATTTAGCATTATTGATATATCCATGGCATGGTGGAGAGAGAGAGAGAGGTCCCAGCAAGATTCCAAACAAAACCCACAAATTTGGTCAGAATACTTCCCATCCATCATACAAGCAATTGGCCTTTGCAATTCTCCTTGGTTGTGGCCTTTTGTGTTTGTGTGTGTTGGGGTCCTACCAGTTGTGCTTACACAGCTGTCTGCAATCTGCATGTGTTTGTGCTCTCAAGTACCCCAGCTGAGCACTTGGGATACAAGAAATCCCATCTCCATGACCATGGTTGAGCCCATCCTGGTTATTAATTGCTTTTCAAAGGGAATGAATCACCATGATGATGAGATAAATTGAGAATATTCAGAGCTCAGACCCCATTTATGAATAGACAATCCAAATAGTATATTGATTGGGTGATCCTCTCAGCCCTTTTTTTTTCCATTTTGTGGATTGGGGCAATTGAGTCTCTGCCGGATAAGTCCCACTAGCATCCCTTGATGTTCATGTTACCAAAATAAATACCCCTAAAATCCTTCTAATAAGTTTAGCTTCATGAAATTCTGTTTAATCCCATATCCATTGTTAAAATTACCAATGTTCAAATTATTTCTTACTACTTCGACCCATATCTACCTTCTGACCCATGACTTTATACAGAAAAGGAATCACCTGAGTGAAAGAAGTAGTTCTTCTTAAATATAGGGATTTCCCAATCTCAGAGCCTTGGGTAACTTGAAAACTTAGAAAGTATGTTTCTTTCTCTTGCCGATGTAGTCCCTTGACTTTGATTCTTCTGTTGTGCCTTTCTTTGTCAAGTAAATAATGATAACAATGCTTCATCTTACGTTGTGGAAAAGGGCGTCAGACCTGAAATACAGTTTCCAGACGAGACAATGAAGAAGGGTAACTGGGGGAAGCAGATGCATTTTCCAAATAAACAATTGATTAGATGGTGAGTTGGTGAACGACATAAAACTCATTCAGCAACCACATTCATCCAAAAATGGCTAGAGTCTATCTTACTATTTCCTATCAGCTAGTTTACTCCATCTACTCAATTCTAACACAACTACAAAAGAAAAAGCAAAAGAAGTTATAGTCTAGACTCGCTACCTTCTTCACATCTAATTAATCTAACACATATTAAAGTAAAGCCCTCCGACAAGACAAAGAGGGCTTTTCGCCTTTTCCTTCAAACATGTGGCTAAGCCTCCGATTTGGACAAAAGGGGGCTCACTGTAGCTCTGAGATCGTATTGTTTCGTAGTTCAAATTAAAAAATCAACTGATGCTCTTTGATCACCAATCAAATCTATTTTAGTTTTTATGGTCAAATAAAAAATCTCAGCACAAAGGCTTCCAAGATGTTACAATGGTGCGACCCTCACTCTTCTAGGCAGTGTTTTCGAAACACCCTTAACCCGGGGACGGTTGTACCGTTCGGCCTGGGAACCGTCCAAATAACCGGTTCCATTTCACCCTTAACCCAGTCTTTGATAAAAAAATCATTAATTTGATCAGCGACTCACTGATACAGGCAGTCAAACTGTCTAACCCATTTAATGATTTTTAGCCATTTTTTAAAGTTAAAACGGGCCATCCAATTGAATTGGACAGTCGAACCATCAACCCAGAAACTAGTGTCCAAAACTGTTCCAATTCCAAGTCATTTTTTAAAACCTTGCTTGTAAGTGAAGTGGGTTTTTCGATTACATATCCAACCTAAATTATTGTCCTAAACTAAAAGAAATAAAAAGCCTAACCCAAATGATCAAAACCTTGTAATCCCAAACAATAGTTAAATATATGTACAGCTAACTATGAATACAGTTGTGCAAATTTCAAAATATCACAATATATCAGTGCATAACATACCATATGTATCGCTATTTACTAGGAGATAATAGATCTCCATAAACCCCTCTCAACGTAGCTGTCAGTACATACTGAACTGAACAAACAGAGAAATATATATATATTCCTTTGCAAACTCCCATTTTTCATATCACGAGTGTCTATACATTGAATCATGCATTTGGAAAAAGAAAATAAGAGAAAATAAAAGAAAACAAATCTGAATAAATCTATCACTTTTTAACCTATTTTTTGACATTTACCAATTTAAGCTAATGAGATATGAAGGCACAAGTTTTAATAAATCCTATGTGTTTATTACCCATTAGCTTGAAAAAAAATCATAAATTTGAGATAATGAAATATAGAAGCATAGTTTTAATAAATGACAGCACGTCCATTGGGTGAGAGAGAGAGAGAGAGAGAGGGCAAATGTCAATCAGTTTACAAGGAAATGCGCATCAAGTCAAAACTTATAAAACCCTATGATCGACTAGTTCATTGATGATTCCAGATCTTTTTGTATCACCACCCAGAGTAGCCATTCAGTCCCATCTTCCAATTCCTTGTATGTTTTGAAATTGAGGGCTCAAAAGCCGAATCAATACCAAATCAAGTAACCTGTCTAACACGGGCCCAGCTCAAATTGAAATGTGAAATACTCATATCTTGGGCGCAGGCTTTGGGCCAGGCTCAAGACTTAGGCAGGACCTATTATGATCAAAGTATTAAAAAGGTGCATGAACCCATCTGTTGTCAATATTATAATTATTTAAATACGGAAATTCACATGTTTTGCAATATATGCTTCTTTGCATGTGCATATATATTTATGTTAGAGGTGTTCATCAAAAACTGAAAAACTAAAAAAACCAAACTGATAAAAACTTGATTAACCAAACCAGTCAGTTCAATTTCAATTTCAATTAACCAATATGAAAAACTGGTGGTTATCCAAATCAACCTGATTGATTTCAATTTGGTTTCAGTTCACGGTTTTATAAAATTCAAACACGTTGGGCACAGCCCCAGCCTAAATATAGAAAAAGCCATGGATTTTGGACCTAGCCCCAACCCAACAACCGACCTAAATGTGTTCTTTCCACGGTATAGGATTGCAGACATTCAGGATTGCCTGGGTGATGTACCTAAACCAGAGATTGGAATTGCTCCTCACATAGCACGCCTCACACTAACCTCACATGTCACAGCACATCACAGCTATGTATTAAGAATATCTCCGGTACATGATGTTATCATTCATGGGAAGATGTTCCCAACACACGGCTGCAATACACTGTGAGGAGCAAATCCAAACTCCCTAAACCATAATGTCTAAGTTACACGGGGCATGTTGATTCATTTGCAGCTAAGCTGTTGGTGAAAGCATGCGCAGAGAACAAGTTGGTTAGACAAGTGTAGCAGCAGTGGGCAAATGGATCCACATAGCCCATGTAACATAGACATTGTAGTTTAGGTGGCAATCTCTCTACATATCGACTTCCAGTAACATCACCCAGGCATGGCATGCTATAGTCTAACAGCCTCTGATAAAGATTTGGTACTTGCAATGCTTGAATAATTAGGCAATAGTCTAATAACGGTGGTGGACCTAAGGATTCAACGATGGTCGACCCAGCGGATTGCCTACAGCCTAGCTGATGGACAATAAGTAATATATACCACTTACCCGGTGGACATGGAAATTGTATAGTGAAAGTTGAAAAGATCTGTCCTAGAAACCCTGAATCAAAAGGGAAACTATATGACCTGAAAGACCTGGAAAACCTTAAACCATACGCGTGTATGAGAGAGAGAGAGAAAGAATTCTTTTATTGAATTCCAACACCCTAATCTACTCTGCTTACATGGATACAATTGACATCTCAAATGCTCGAAAATGGCGAGCATCGATAGCCAATCCACTCCAGTAATAGAAAAAATTGTTGGGAAAGGTCATGATAAGCAGCTCCCGTTGTCAGCCTTCAACTTAGTCGAGCATTTGATCTGATGGGACTTGACCAAAGATATCAGGACAGGAGTCCCAGTTCCCCTGTTCTCTAGCCTCCCAGTACCCACCAACATAGCAGTATGTATCACTTCCCTTTTCCTTGGCAAACCAACGCGGCTTCCAACCCCTCTCTTGCATTTTCCTTGCCTGAGTTCACATCAGTCAGTAAATGTGCATTTTATCTTTATTTCCTTCAATAAAAAAATCCAAAGCCAAGACGAAAAGAAGCGGTATGACAACTTATAATTCACCTGTCGTTGCCTCTGTTCTAGCCGCAACTTTTCTGCATTTGCCAAGTCATATTCCCCATTCTCAAGGCACCTTTGGTCAGGTCTTAGCCTTGAATCTGTGGGAGGCAACTTCTCCTGCACACATATGGATTGATGTCCCGATTTATCATCAAATAGAGAAGGATAGCAGAAAAGATCCTAGAAATTGGTTCAAACTCCACATTAGAACATTTAAATCACACCTTCAAACCAGGAGTAAGCTCATTTAGTGTAATGGCAAAGCGTGTCAAGTTGTATCTGGTGGAATACTTGGACGGCATGCTCCGTTTCCACAGCATATGGGCTGAAGACAATGGTTCCGATCCTTTTCCTTTCCCAGAACAGTCTCCGTTCACATAATACATGCTCTCATCCCATTTTCCAAATAGAGTGGCTACTGTTTTTCCATTCTTATCTTGCACAATACCATGTACCTGCACCACAACTAAATCTGTCACAACCATGGTTTCGGTAACTGCAGATAACCACCACCACATCAACCACCAGAAAATATGAGTAATAGCAATATAGTTCTACTTTACTATTTTAAAGTAAAAGATACCATCCTTTTCTTGTCAAATATTTGTCAATAAAGCTCAGTTTGGAAGGAGTACAAACACAAATATGTAGAGTGCAAAACCTTGTATTTTGTATGTATCTGTACTGTACATAATTTGTATTTGTACTCTTTCCAAACTGAGCTTTAAGTGCTATAGCATGGATCAACATTGGTAATATGTAGGGGTGTCAATTGGACTGGATTTGGTCCAATCCGATCCAGTCCAATGTGAGCCATTATAAATGGACCAGGTCCAATCCAGTCCAATGAATATTTTGGACCGGCCGAATACAATGTCTGGACCATCCAATCTGTTCAAATTCGCTTTGATTTAGATTGGTTTCAACCCAAACCTGGTCCATTGACACCTATATTCTCATCTTATATCAATGGACCAGATATTGGCTTAATCCAACCCAATCCAATATAAATTTATTACAGACGGACCAGGTCCAATCCAATCTAATAAATATTTTGGACCGGATTGGTCCAATCCAATGTCTTGTTGGTCTGTCCAATCCGTCCAAACTGATTTTGGACTGGACGGGGCCCAATCCAAAACCGGTCCATTGACACCCTTAGGTATATGGATAAGATTTTGGAGCACTTAATATCACACTACCTCTGAATTCCTGTAGAGAATATCTTGACATATAAAGAGACAGGTAGATCTATCAAAGATACAACACTCAAGTTACAATTTTGGCATCATCTTGCACCTTGCCTTGGTGTTTTTACAGGGAGAAGTGCCATTCCAAGGTTTAGCTTTTGCTACATTAGACTATGTATGTGTTCGGTACCGTTTATGTTTAATGAATAAACATTTGTACTTTATTTGCTGGTAAAACCAAGAAATGCAATAATTGCAATCATTTATGACAACTGGGCACCACTAAGCGCCACTTCAGCGTAACAGTGAATAAACGCCTGGCCGTTTGTGGAAGCTTCAAAAAATGACTTCTACAAATGACTGGCATGCACATAAACCAAAGTTCACTTTTTACATTTTCGATGTATGCAGAAGAGCAAGAGAGAGAAAATGCTGAGATGGTGCCTATGTGGCACCATCAATAAACGTTTACTGAATAAACCAAGTTCTCAATTCAAAGAACCATTAAGGGGGTGCTTACCAATGTGAATGGTTTTGTTTTCTAAAACAAAAACAACGACCGTCTCAGTAAAACAATACAATTCTTCCTCATCCCCCTTCCTCTTGAAGAGGCATATGCCTCCTAGTGCTCATGAGGGGGCTTATGCCTCTTACACTCTGAACTATGTCTCATGCCTCCGGTAGTAGAATGCCACCACGTTTAAAACATTGTTTGCCCTTATCCTTCCTTGATGCTTCCACTTCTCCACTCCCCATGTTTGATGACTCCTGTACGACGATTTGGCTTCTCTCTCTCCCCTCGATAGCTATGCATCCCAACACCATGGAAGTCGTATCGCAACCAAAGTCAGATCTTAACCTATCACAATTTGAAGCTCAAAAATCTCACCTGAAAATAATAAGCCAATATACAAAGGGAATGGAATGCACATCCTGTCTCCACCATCACGCATGCATACTGTAACTCCTCCCATCTCCTATTGCAAAAATCAAAACTCCTGACTTTGCCATGCATTTTCAATCGCCCTAAAGGTCTGGGTACATCACACATGAAATTGAATTCCAAATATATTGATCTAGACAAAACTCCTACCCTGTGTATTCCTCACCTGACCGATCATTGGAGACCATCTACCTAAAGTCAGTTCTGGGTAATGATGTGAGCTTCTCATTTCACTCTGCAACCCTTCCTCTTCTCTAACCTTGCTCTTGAACATAAAAAGGATCAAGCCTGCATTTAACCTAATGACTTAATCAAAACCAAATTGCCTCCATTTGATTGAAGCCCATTTGCAAAGGTCGTTAACATCAGGATCCAATCTGATAAATCCACCAAGTATCAACTAAGCAAGCACTTAACAATATCCTTGTCAAGAAAAACTAACAAGTCACCCACACAGATTTCAAGAAGGCTGTAATATAGTTGCAGACAACAAAACAAGGTAACAGAAGCTGTCACACCCCAAGAAATCACAAACTGTTCAAAGAAGAATGCTTCACAAGTTATTTGGCAGACCAAGCAATAGCTAAGATTCAATTATCACCTAGAAAACTGCTGCAGGTCAAGCATCTCCCCCAATGCAGGAAAAAAGCTCACGATCCTGGGAAAAAAAAAGAAAGCCTTCTAAACCTAAGAAAAAAACCCTTCAGATTTCAAACACCAATCTCTTACTCGGATTGCGACTGTCAAAAATACAACAGAAGACACCTCTGGCATCAACTGAACCATACATAGACTCGATAGGAACATCAAGACTGCAATGGACCAGGTTAGGATGGACCCCATCCGAATCAATCTACTAGAACCATGCAATCTACTAGATTGCAACTGTCAAAAATACAGCAGAAGACACCTCTGGAAGTCACACTGATCTTCAATCTACTAGAACCATGCAACTAGAGGTGTCAATGGACCAGGTTTGGGATGGACTCCGTCCAAATCAATATCAATTTGAACGGATTGGACAGACCAATAAGAAATATTGAAAATGGTTCTAAGTATTTATTATATTGGACTGGACCTGGTCTATTGTAATGGATTTTATATTGGACTAGGTCGGATTGAACCAATGTCCAGTTCATTGACATAAGATAAGTGTATGGGTATTAAGTCCAGACATTATTGGACCAGTGGTCCAAAGTATTCATCGGATTGGATTGGACCTGTTCAATCTATAATCAACTCACAGTTTTCAAGGCACCAAGGCTAGGTGACAGGGGGCACTTTGTTGCCTAGTCGCCAAGGAAAGCGCCTAGGCATCACCTTAGCAATGGATTTTTTAAGTAAAAAACATATATCCTAGGGTAGATCCTTAGGTCCCATAACCATATTTCCTTAATAATTATCCATAATTTTGATAGGAAAAGTATAAACTTCATATTAAAGTATAGAAAATCAACATACTCATGAGAAGAAAAGAAGAAAGAAAAGAATTCAAAAAATATAGGGGCTGAGCCCCTACTTTTGTTATAGGAAAAGAAGAAAAGAAAAGGTGGAAGAAGAAGATGTGTTGATTATGAAAAATTTTAAGTTCTTCCTTACTTATTGGTTTAGGTTTTGAAGTCTTTGAGGGATCAATACAGCATTTAGCAATGTCTGTATTCATTAAACCTTAACAAATAAGAAAACAATAAAAAGAAATTAGTATATAAACACACAAAATGAATATTTTAGTTTAATGATTATCTATTTTATAATCAGATAAGGGGAAAGAAAGTGGTTTGCCCCCTGTGAATGTGAGCGTGGGAAGGATCTTCCTAGTTAATGTGGGAAGGTTCTTCCTATTTGGAAGGCTTCATCCACATCATAAAAATGATGAACAACCATCTGGTTCCTTATTTCTAAGGCTGCAACTTGGGCCGGGTTAGCCCAAACCCAACCCGAAAAAGTCGGGTTGGGCTGGATCAGGTTGATGCTCGAGTTAGGGTTGAAATTTATGAACCCGGCTTTACTTCGGGTTGGGTTAGGGTTGACCCCTTGGGCAACCCGACCCAACCCGAACCTGACTCTATAGTACATATCATATATAAATATATGTTATATATATGATCATACATTGATTTGTTTAAATGCATGATAGTTGTATAGCCACTACCACATACTATCATTTATTTCATTTAAGATAATCACTTCACTTAATCCTAAGTGGAAATACTAAAACCTTGTTAATATATCTCCTCTCTTTTGTTTGCCACCCATAGCTTGTTGACCATAAAAGATCTATTATAAGTCATCATAATAAACTAAAGTCATTTCAAACATTTTTTTTTCTGAATTTTGTACTTAAAGAACCAATAAAAACATCAACAAACAAATACTAATAAAACATAGGATTAATATATGTAATGAAAGTTGAGTTAAGATCTAAGATTAAGAAGTTCTACAAGATTTTAAGGGATGGGAAGAAGGTTGGGTTGGGCCCAATGACTTTGGGTTGGGTTGGGTTAGGGTTGAAGGAATTTAGTTAGGGTTAGGGTTGGGTCGGTCAAGTTGGGTTAGGGTTGGGGGTTTAGAACTTAGGGTTGGGCTAGGGTTGGCCTCAACCCGACCTAACCCGGCCCAATTTGCAGCCCTACTTGTTTCAGCCCTCAATCCAGATTTGAAACGTGAAAGTCTTTGGCATGGATCTTTAATTCCTCTACACCAAACTTTCAGCACTTCAATTTTGTTCATATACTCCACCAACATGTTTCCTTGCTTTAAACTGTTGAGTTAATCAAAGAGATCATCTTGGTAATCATAAGGCAAATACTTCCACTTCAACTTTAGCTTCATCTCCTCCCGATGGATGATGAGTGGTTGTCCAACATATCTTAAATCATTCTCTACACCAGTCCACCACACTTGGGCTTGTCCAACAAGCTTCATGATAGTAAACCAAACCCTCCTCTCACCTGACATATTATACCAATCGAAGTACCTTTCTAAAGTGGCAAGCCAATCAGAAAAAGCCTGAGGATCGATCTTACCATGAAAATGTGGAACTTCAACTTGTACCTTCTTGGTGATATCTCCAGCTGCCTCATATGTATCATATCTCTCATGTTGATCTTGCTCTATTATTTCATGTGCCATCACCAAAAAAGATGGTTGAGGCCTCTCATACAGCTGTATTGCTCGTGGACTTGGCTTTGATGATGCCAAAACCCTCTCCCTCCTTGTTTCAGCTTCATCCCAGGTTCTCCACCATTCCTTGGGGCACTAGAAGAAACCTCCCTAGTGGTACTTGCAGCATTAACTTGTGGCTGTTGAGAACCTTGTTGTAACACCTTGAAATGAGCTTTCAATGCATCAAACCCTTTCCATAATCATGTAGATGAAGGTTCCGTTGTGCGCGCCTTTCTGTGCGGTCTGTCAGCTATTTACAATCCTGGCAAACCGCAATTCGGTCTTTTCCCATTTGGTTTGTAGTAGATCTAGCTGCCAAAAGCCAACGCGCTGAAAAGACATGGGAAGCCCAAAACAGGCAATTTTCGGGAAGCTCCAAATGGAGCTTTTGTGTTTTTTTTTTTTTTCTATTCGCTTCGTGCGGAAAGACACGCCTTGACCAAACGGGCTTCAGGCTGCTCAAATCTTAATGCAAAAGCTCAATGCGTCTTTTGACTGTCAAAGCTACTAGAAGATCTTTCCAAAATGATTTGCCAAACGGCCCCGAAATCATCTCACTGCCTATCAAAACTGATGCAGGATCTTTGTGATTCAGCACTATCCTTGCAAACAACTTAGGTCTAGATGTGTAGCACAAACAAGAACTAATAGAGAAAGAAGAGAAGAGAAGAGAAGAGATGGAAATAAGATGAAAACCCTAGGAAATCACACCCCCAACTTAGCAATAACACCAATTTCTACAGATAAACTTTCTTTGTTCATTAGAAAAAAATTGTCCTCATATGAGCCATACAAGCTTAATAAAAAAAGAAGCTTTCAAAGGAAGAAACTTGCCCCCCAAGTCAGCTTGCCCAACAAGCCATTTACAAAAAGAAGCTAGACTAAACTAAACCTGTCCCAAACAATTACAAACATAAAGCCAAACAAAGGGAAATTACTAGACTAAGACCTATTCCTAAACATCCCCCCCCCCCAACATGCAAAATTACAAAATAACCCTTGATATCCAGAAATGTAAAAAAACCAAACAAGTCCTATTCAGCAACAACTCGTCCACACAAAGAGCATTAAGGTGGATTGAAGACTCTAGGGTCTTCCCAAGTTGATCTACTGCTAACCCAGCTCCCATGTGGGCTCCACGTCTTCGTAATGATGCCAAATGAGCATAGGAGCAGCTTTGGTTCTCTTTTGATATGCCTTAACTAGGGGTGTAAACAGATCGAATTCAAATCGGATCAGGCAATATCTGAATTTGAATCCGATTAAATATTCTATTCGAATTCGATTAATTAATTATTTTAGATAATTAATAAATATTTTATTGATATAAAGTATATAAATATATAAATTATTTATATAACTTAATTATTATTTATAAATTATATATAATATTTTATATATTATATATAAGAATTAAATAATCAGTCAAATTTGGATATTTATCGAATCGAATCAGGTCATATTCGAATTCGAATCCGATTAACTATCGGTAAGAATAGGATATCCGAAATCGACCAATTAGATATTCGAATTATCCAAATTCAATTTGATTGTGTTGAATATCGAATTCGAAATCAGATTTTCGAAACCGTTGACACCCCTAGCCTTAACCCTTAAGTTGATCCTCATCAACACTAGTCATCTTATGTACAATAGCTAATGACCTATCCTCAGGATGGGGTGACTACTCCAAAATCTAAAATGTAGAAATGTTGCACCTTTAACCGTTAACCCTTTGTCATTTGAATAAGGGATCTGTAGTTTTTTGGACCCACATCAGTCAGTATATTCTTAAAGTGCATTTTAAGTAAACAATATTTTGAATATTGTTATATAGATTGATTTAGGGGCCATTACTGGTGTAATGGTAAAATCTTGCGCAGGCAAGTGTGAGAACACATTATGAGGAGCCTGAAAGCAGCCACTTCTTACCAAAAAAGTGCCAAAAGTTAGGACAGTATCCAGTCCACCCCTCTGGCCCAGCAATACTGTATGGAGCAGAGTGTGGGCAGTCAAGAAACAGTATGTCCAACATTATGAGTGGCAGAAAAATACATATGAAATAGATAAGTGCAAGAACTAAAAATGATAGGGTCAGAAATAAAGTCGTTCAGAGGAACCAAGGAAGTAGACTCATAATTTAACCATGGATATGGCACTAAACTAGGGATGCAAATGGATCAGATCGGATTCGAATCAGGGTATATTCAAAACCAATCCGACAATGTTCATGTCGGATCTGATCAGAACTGATAAGACTCGATTTGAATTTGAATCCTATCGATAAGTCGGATCTTCAGATCTGATCCAATCTGACTTGTTTTCTTTAAAAATTAATAAATTATTAAAAGAAAAATAAATATAGTAATTTAAATAAAGTAAAAACAAAAAATACAAGTATTTTTTAATTATTTTCATCATATATATACATGTTTTTTATAAAAATAAATAATATAACAAATTTTCAAAAAAATAATATAAAAAATATATTTATGAATAAATAACATGTATATATGTATTATGTATATATTTATATTTATAAATATAATATATATTGGATCGGATCTTCTCGGATCGGATAGGGGTGATCCGAATTCAATCCGATTTCTGATCGGATCCTATAATCCGATCTGAAGATCCGAACAAGGGTGATCCAAATTCAACCAAATAGGATCGGATCGGATCATGATCCGATCCATTTGCACCCCTACACTAAACAGAACATAATGGCAAAATAGGATTCATGTAGCCAACCCCGTATTCCATGCAAGTATTTGTGTTATATCAACTTGACAGCAGTGCTCTGATAATGGAAGGAAATCTGGTAGCATGGCTGGCAGACTGAAAACTGACCAGACCATGTAAGATGGGAAAGGATTGTAATACAAATCTTGCTAAACCCAGCTATAGACCTTTTCAATAGGTGCATTGGTGCCAAGCATGTGCCTTTTTTACATATGGGTTTTCTTTTTGTTGCTTAATGGGGCTACACAATGGGGGTATAACCCATCTCCCATACCCATAACCCTCAACCTTTGCAACAGCAGAGTTCGATCCCAAGAAGTCCCTGCTACAACCAACCAGAGAACTTAGCAACTGAGCCACCATCAGTTGGTATATGCATAGAAGGGTGTAAAGCAGATAAGAATCTACAAAAAAAGAATGCATATAAAAATGCATTTTTTTTGTAGATTATTATGCACTTTACACTTCTGAAATGATTTATTAACTTCTAACTTTCCTCTTATTGCTGTCTGTACACAAGTAACGGTTTACGAACTTTTATATAAGCAAAAACAAAGATATTTCAAATAGTTGAAGCCTTGGTTCATGCAAAAAGGATCTCAAATAGCAAAACATTCACTAAATAAGCAATGAAGATACAACTAATATCCCATCCCTAATCCTGGAATAGAATGAACTACAACTAAAATCACATAACCAACCTCTTTGTGTATACAGGCCAAAAATTTAGGTCAGGCCTCTCCCTTAAACCCCTGCATGGATTTGTTTGGGTTTCCCTCAAGGTGCCTTTACAGAGGCAAACGGAAAATCTCATAGGATTAGGAACGCAAGGGATTTAACATCACATTCACTACTTGAAGTAATGCAACTAAGAGACAAATAAACAGATTGTAAGTTTCACATGCTTGGATTCTTGAGTGCGTTAGGCACTTCGATACAATCCACATATGTTCGCTTTCACATCCATATTTTGACTTAGAATATGCTTATATGCATTTTTATGGATAAAAATATGCTTTATTTGTTATGCTTATATTATAATTTCAGCCAATAGACTTTTCAAAACATTTAATTTCTTTTAATATTCAGCTTTCATTTTTTACGCATTATTTCTCTTTTACTTTTTGAATTAAAAAAATGCACCTAGCACATTGTGCTTTTACAACACCGAAATGCCAATTGCTTGCCTGGTTGAGTTAAGTCCCTTTCTGAAAGCTGGAAAGTTGGAGATTTGACCAAAAAAAGGGCAGCTATTATGGTCCACTATCCCATTGGCTGTAATTTCAGCTATCTGGGGTGAGAGGAACAGGAGGATCTTTGATCAGACTCGGAATCAAGAAGAGGAGCTGATAAATCAAACTGTTGGAAACCTAAGAGCATGGATGAGTATTCATTCCCATTTCTCCTCTTTTTTAGCTGTTTATTTTTTGGGGGGAGCTCTTAATGGTATTCGTATGCCAACAGAATGTTTTTGTACAGTGAACTAACAATACATGTATACTTCTTTATGAATATATTAATACAACTTTAGCTTAACTTTTCAAAAAAAATGCCACACAATCAACCAGTCTCATTCTATTTTATTTATAAGCAATTTAAGTCATTGTTTATGTCACTCTATACATGACAGAACAGAGCGAAAAGAATCTTTTCTTAAAATGAAGTCAAACACAAAAAACTATGCCCTAGTTTTCCACATTATCAACAGTGAAATATGGAGGGCAATGATATACACCAAGAACACCCAAAATCATTTAAATTACCCTCTTCTCATCTCAAAAATGCATATATTTCAAGTTTAACTTAGAAACATTGGAAACCACAGAAAAACAAAAAGAAAGATCCCTTGTTACATATATCTTCACTGTAGCTAACCAAGGAGAAGGGAAAATGTACAATGTACAGTATTCTTCTACTACCATTACTAGAACAGTGGCAATAAAGTAGCATGAGTTGTATAAATTGCCATGTGGACAGGAGTTGTAAATCGTAAATTGTGGGATAAACTAGGCACCTGATGAGGATTTCTGTCTATGATTGACTGCTCTTTGAATTTTAGCTTGCATGAGTATTCATGGTTCCCTTGTATACGCATTGTACCATAGTGATCGCAGTAAAGCTTTCCCAATATAAGGTTGTAAATGGATGTTGTGACCTGATCGAACAGGGCCCCACTCTTCAGTTGATGACTAATTATGATATGGCATTCAGAGATTTCAACAATTAATGTTCATACCTTGTTCCACTGAAAAACTTCTCCATCATCAAACTCTAGAGTTAGAACACCAACAGGATCAAGCTGAATAGAACGACCCCAAAATTTGCTTTTTAGATTGCTGTCAGCCCAAAATTTCCAACCCCTGCCCTCACAATGGCATGCAACAATCATCGGGTGATGGCTTACCTGTCTCGAAGTAAAATGAGCCATAAATACATGATTCTTAAGTTGCAAGAATTTTATAAATAAACAAGCAAGGAAAATGAAAAAGTAAAATTACCATAGCAAGCAATGCCTTATGAACACAATGGTCATGGTTTCAACCATACAAGAGGCAACTGCATCTTAGTTGGGACAAGGGTCTCTACTGTTACGTGACATGTCATGGGTTTAAAACTAGTATGCACTTTTGAGTTAATAACCCAACTTAGAATAGGCCTCCTCTGTACCAGCATTAATGATTTGTGAAGTTCATTGCAGTCAGGTTTGTCAAGGGCCTTTTTTTTATTGGAAAGGTTAACTTCATTAAAAATTAAAATATTTCAAGATATGTCAAAGTACCACTGTCAACCCCTGAACCCCGTATTATGAAGTTGACCCAAGTTACATATTTATTACAACACTTCCCAAAACATGTTCTCCCTTACAGTCCCTTGTTTTTCTAAGGTATCTGCTAGCCCATTAGCTGACCTTCTTGTCCACTTGAAGCACATAGCCACACACCAATCTCCCTCATTATATTGAGTATTTCCCTTATCATCTGTCTATATTTCCATGCTCCCAAGCAACCTGACTACATCCACCCCATTAACAAGAGTCCCCTTCAACCTCCATTTGGTGCAACCCCAATTGTTTGGTGTATCTTACACCTTGAAGTAAAGCCATCACCTCTGCTCTTAGTGAATCTCCTTCTCCTATTGGTCGCAAGAACATGACAATAATTCTGCCCTCCCCATATCTAAATACTTCCCCTAACCTGATGGGCCCAGATTACCTATAGAGCTTCAATCAAGGGCATTTTGCTGAGTGGCAGGCCTTGGGCCTAGTTGTACCATGAGATACTAAACTCATCAAGAAAAGTCAAACCAGGTGAAATTACTGAGTTCAAATCAACCCAAAAGGATTTTAAGAAATAAAGCAGGTTCAGAAATCCCCCCCCCCCTTTCCCAAAACACATTCTTACTGAGTAATGAAGGTTGTTTTACTAATTATCAGTCAATGGTAAAAAAACCCCTTTTGAAGACATGTAACATTTCAATTGGTCAGTAGAATAACATCAATCAATGCTATGCACAAATGCATACCAAGAGTCGAATGCCACTGGCTGAAAATTCAGATGTGCTTATGAGTTTTCTTGCTAATATTTTCTTTCTAGTATTATGCAACAAAATCAACAAGAAAAATATTCCCAACAGATCCCAATTGTATAAATATATTATACAATACCATTAGCTCAAAAAGTTGGGGAATCAACTAAAAGAAAGCAAGTTCTTAGCAAATTAGTAGCAAATAATACTTGTCATGTTGAAACTTATCAAAAACTATTTAGTATCTTGAGACCTACAAAACAAACACTGGGAATATTTTCAAGAGGTTTCTAGCTGTGAAAATAGAACCTTCTCTGAAAAAAATCGGAGGCCTTTATCTGGATAATCAGCTTCATATGTCTCCCCCAAAAGTGGATTAAAGGGCTTGCAGTGTCTTCCTTCAGTAGAGGCATATCCAGAGACAGCAAATGCTGCTACATTTAGAATCCTCATAAGGCTATTACCCTACAAGTGTTATCAAGAAGTGGATTCACAGTGAGAAAATGAATACATCAATTAGAAAGAATAAGAAAATCAAAGCTAGACAATGAAACGCTATCAAACAATAAAATAGAGAAGTATAAGCAGCTGAACCATTTGGATTAAAACATTCAAAGGATTAAAGAGCATAATAGCCTTATCTCTCCATTCCTAGATTTCTATATTCCAATACATGAGTGATGAATAGAAGTTGTTTCTTCAACTCCATTCAAGAGCATAATATCCTATAATAGGTTAATTTAATATTCCAATTTGGTTTTTAAACTTTCAGCATTGAGTTATCTATTCATTTATTTATTTTCTTGGCAAGTTGAAGATAAAAAATCAAAAATCATCCTGATATAACAATCAAGCTACAGCAAACAGCCAAATATAGAAACATTAAAACAACCATAACAACATCATAGTGAATCAAAATAGGGCAATTCTTGACAAGTATCATGGACAAGCTGTAACACACCAGTCTGCAGGTGCTTGGGTGTACAAGCATACGCTAAGGGAAATTTATTGCTTAGCTAAAGAGATGGGCTAAGTTGTAATGACATATAGTAAAACACATGGGTTGTTGGAAGTCTTTCCAAATTCCAACATCTAGTTGTACTCTTTCTATTCTAATTTGATAAAATTTCCTCTGCTGATAAAAAAATACATAATCAATAGAATTAGTCATACGTGAAATAAAAACATAACAACAAAACAGAGAAAATGAGTTGGAAAAATTAGAGAAATTTTGGAATTTTGGAAGGACAATTGGTGTAACAATAGGTCCCTTGAAGAGTTGTTCCCTCACTTATTTGAACTTGCAGAGAATCAGGAGGTTATGGTGACAGATTGTTGTGAGCTGATGGGGAATAGTATTGCATGGAGCCCTAAGTTCAGAAGACCTTTCCAAGATTGGGAAGTGGAACAAGTAGTGAATCTGTTGGGCGTGCTCTCTAGTCAAGTTCTGAACCCATTGGAAGAAGATGCTTGGATTTGGAAGTGGAATGCTGATGGATTATTCACTATAAGCTCTTTAGCCAAAAGAGCTTGCTAGTGAAGGTCTGGATAACTTCCCTGCTAATAGAATCTGGACTCAGATTCCTCCTCTCAAAGTGAATGCACTGCTGTGGGTGGTGGTATTGGACAAAAATCTAACTAAACAGAATTTGAAAAAAAGAGGAATTCTGATTCAAAACATGATGTGCGAGCTGTGTGGGCAAGCAGAGGACAACAATCATCTCTTCATCCATTGTCCTTTTGCAGCTACAATTTGGAACCACTTTCTCTCATCGGAAGGTATTTCCTGGGTCATGCCAAATCAGGTTTCAGATCTGCTAAGGAGTTGGGATTTGGTAGGCCTTTCTAAGCTGGCTAGAAGTGTGTGGTGAGCTATCCCTGCAGCTGTTATCAGTTCCATATGGGCAGAGAGAAACAGAAGAATCTTTCAGAATAAGAAAAAGGAGGCAGACTGTCTTATGTCTGGTGCAGTGGGAAAGCTTGTATCCTGGACTGCAGGTGTAAAAGGCATACAGCCTAGGATCTTGGGGTCTCAGTTAAGTTCTGTTAGTATATTTGAATTGTAATGTAAACTGAGAGGCTGTTCTCAGTCTTTGCTCCCTCCTGGGAGGCCTTTGTATGGTTCTGATTTCTATTAATAAATTTACCTTACCTTTTTCAAATAAAAAAATTAGAGAAAAATCTTTTTTGATCAATAATTAGAGCAAAATCATGATACAGATGACCCCAGAATAAGACACGTTTGTGTCCATGCAACACTGCAACGAGAACAAAAAATGGATGAACTCTTCCCATTTATGTAAAAGTGGATCACAAATGGGCCAGTCTCATTTGAATTGCTCAGAAATCAGGATTGCATGGAATTATAACCTTTTTTCCCTTGAATAACAACAATTGGTTTCTTCAGTTGTTCCTTCTCAAACTACAGTATAAAGGAAATCCAATATAAGATGACAACTAACCTTAGGTATTTTGTTTCACTAAAAGACAGATATGAACCACCTATTTGAGGAGCTTCTTCAAGTCACACCAAAAAGATAGACACATAATGCATACAATTTGCCCATTTGTACTAGATTCTTGATGTCTGAGTTGTATAACTAAAGTTTTAAACTTTCATTGTGATACCTTAGAACGCAAATCCACTTGAACATGAATTAGCATAGAAATTCAGCATACAAGTCAGTACATCTAACAAGATCTATGGATTGTGAAAGTGGAAGAACTGAGAACATTATGTGGAATCTTGAAGATTAAAATATGAGAAGATTCTTTGAGTGAAAAAAGGGGAGAGAGAGAAAGAGAGAGAAAGAGAGAGGTCATGTTATGAGAAGAGCATGATAGGAGGGGGAAGTTTGCCCATTTGGAAAAAACAGCCTGGGCTGTATTGAAAATCTGCATGGCATGTTAGCATGGGTGTGGGATAAAAAAGTAAATGCAATCAATACTCTTTTAATTAAAAAGACAAATAAAGAAATAAGTTGGATAACGTGTCATGTGTTGGAAGCTTCAAAACAGCACAGGCTGTTTTTTTTCCAAACAGCCAAGCTTTTCTCTAACAAGAGGTTGAGAAGGACATTGTATAAAGAAGAGGATGGATAGGTATGGTGAAACATGTAGGATGTAGTTTCTGGACAGTCTCAATGGAAACACATTATCCAATAACTGGAGCAACCTGTGTCTAGATGGTTTTCTTTTTCTTTACTAAGAAATAGATGTAAAGCCTAAAATATGTGTGCATTCAAGATTCAAATATACAACAAGAATAACACAAAAAGGGAAAATCTATGATGCTGGAAAGGCATGATACCGGAAAGGCCTTGAATTTTGAGGAGGTATGGGCAGGGAGAGCCATATATGGAAGCTTCCTATCCCTCCAAGGATAGCAGCTTTCTTTTTCAGTTTTCTGTTTCATATACTGTGTACTTCTCCTATGAGATGCATTTGTGTCTAGCCCTGGCATCAATATTTTTAGTTAATTGTATCCTGATTTTCTGATCTCAATTAATAATCAAAAGTAAAAAAGAGAAAAGAAAAGGAACAGGGGAGGATAATCTTTTTATAGACAAAAGTTACCAAGAATCAAGACCATAAATGTGCATAATTTTGTGCAGATAGTGAAATTGATCTTAGTATAATAATTTAAGAATTGAAGGAAACAAGTAAAATCTAAGTCATGCAGAAACCATTAACCTGGCAGTTAAGAAAGTTATCAGCAATCAATACATCTACATTCTAAGAAGAAAGAAATGTAATCAGCATATGCTGGAAGCATTTTTTATTTTATTGCAATAATCATTTCTCCAAAAGAAAAGAAAAGAAAGTTCACTAAAATATTACTAAAACTTACCCTTCTACCCCATTCATTGGCCCGGTCAATAAGGTAAGAGTATTCCAGATCTTCAAAACATTTTTGCAAAGAAGAGAGTGGCTCATTAAAGTAAACAGGAAGACAAACTTTTGTGAGATCCTTCCCAATGTTATCTTTAATCATCGACCATAAGCTAACTCCCTTCTCTTTTTCAATTGGGTTAGGCAATTTCTTGCGCCGCCTCACATAAGGATAGTTAGTACCAACAGATTTAATTGAACTATCAATATCATCCTCAGAATCAACAGCATAAAGCTCTTCATCATCAGAATCAAATGATGATCTCCGGAAATCAGATGCACTGCTTTTAAAGGAGCTTGATGAAAGAAAATCACGTGTATCAAAGAAAGTGTTGTCATCATCATCTGTTTCTTCCTCTGCAGCATCAGGTCTTTCATTGTCATCCTCAGATTCAGTAGCACTTCCTTCTGAAAAATTATTAACAGAAGTAAGGTTTTCTGTAATATATCAATTTTACTGAAGACAAGATGGAAGAAACATTCCTTGACTAGGAAAGTAACAACTTTCAAATGGGCACATAGATCAACTAACAGCATTGCTGTTGCTCAGCAAAAAAAAAAAAGTGCTAAATAAGTCTTTGTATTTTCTTTTTTGATAAGTAAAAAAAGTTATTAATTCATAGGTTCAAACTAATACAAGCATCCCTTGGAGAGGTGTGAGCTGCAACTTCTCCTAACAAAGTACAAAATAAATAAGCATCAAATTACATCTGAACCCAAAACAAATGATCCCTATTTGCCCTTGCTTGGCTAGACAATCAAGCAATTTCAATGGTCAATAGGCAAGTGCTTCAATGTCTTTGACATAGATCATTTTTTATCATGCAATCTACACAAAATAAAAGACATGCATCTTTGTGCCTTGATGAATGGCATATTGTAACAAAACCTATTTTTAAATGTTGTTTTCAAGTAAATCAAGTGAAAGGCTGAAAACATCTTGTAATAATATGATGATCTTATTAGATAACAAAACTAGTTCATCAGCAAACATATAAGCAATCATCTTAAATTAAATTATTACCACTATATTTTTCTTGTCTTGATCTATTTGAAGACTCATGTTCCTTTGATTGTCTTTGGCTCTCATCAACAAGTGTATTCTCCAAATCAACTTTTTCTGTCTACATAGTACAGAATAAAATAGTTGTTTTTCAGAAGACCTCTAAGAAAGCTACTGAGTTAGAAAAAAACTGCAAAGTAAGCTGCCTACTAAGTACATTGAAAATTTTCAGGCAAGATAATAGGACATAGACAAAAAATAAAAACAGAGCTAATTTAGTCGGGGGTTAAAAAATATAATAACTACAAATAGAAGGTTTGTTAAAGCAAAAGACAGATTGGTTTATGATGAATCTGCATAAAAGGAAAAGAAAAATATTAGCTTCAGACTATGATGAATATATCAGACACCACAATATTCAAAAGTATCATGGCATTACCAAGCATGCCACTGATTAAAGTTTTGAAAGTTTAGAATTTTAAGGGTTCCTCTGGTGCAGCTACCATCCAATGAAGTTTAATCTAGACAAGGAATTCCACTAAAGCACCATTCAATGAAATTTTTTGAGTAGGAAATGACATTTGATAGATCTTTCTGTGTATAAAGTAGATATGTACATAGAGGGACACTTAATCATTTAAAAACTGTATTTAAGGGTTATATGGACATTTAATGCTGAAGGAATCATTGAAGTCACAATTTGAGCATGAGTTCCAAATTTCAGCTACCTGCACAGTCTGAACACAGCTGCTATTCTTTCCCAGCAAATACAAGCTGCCATAACCACCCACCCCACCCCAAACTTCTGCTTTTTAGTACATATCAGCTCTAGCTTCACTTGAAAGTGCTTTACAAAGCACAAGATCAATGCCTCCATAGGAAATGCTTTTAAGGCTAAAAAACACCTCCAAAAATTCCGACCCATATTTCACTTTTTTTTTGCTCTACCAAATATGGGTACCAACTGATGATAGTTCAATTGGTAAGTTCTCTGGCTGGTTGTAGTGGAAACTTGGAATCAAATCCCTCTGTCACCAGTGGAGGGTTATGGGTATGGATGGGTTACCCACCCCCAGATTGTGTAGTCCCATCAAGCAAAAAAAAATGTGGGTACAAGTCTCAAAAACCGTCTGATGTGTATATCTTATAACACCTAATTTCCTTCAATTAAAAGAATGATAAAATAGAAAAGAACAAAAAATAATAATTCTTACCAGCAATCAAGAAAATAAGCTACAAAATGTAGGAAATCAAAATCCTAAAAATATTGTTTTTGGGGTCTACAAATAGTTTACCCACAAACTGAAGATGAGTGCCTCCACCCCCTCCCCCCAACCCCCCTGGTTACAAATAACATTCCACTTTATCAAAGGTTCTTCATATCTTCTGGCATTCCCTTCTCCTTTTTAGATTTTCAAACTGGTACCCCATTCTCAACTCAGATTAAAAGTATAGCAGAAAAATTAAAAGTTATTTATTATGAACCTTTTCTTTAACTGTCCATAAAAAGAAAGATGATTAAAAAAGTAAGATGGAAAAAAACACAGTACGCTTGATATAACACAGTACACTGCTTTCAATCCATATACTGGTCCCTGCCAATAAGGGTTTGAAGAATTAGACAACACAGGAGGCAGAGATTATAATGAAAAAAAAAAAAAAAATCTTTCAGATTCTTAAATGCAGGTTTAAAGGGGAGTGATCTTTCCCACCTTCATTTATGCAAATGCATTTGAAAGGCTTAGATCTTTGAAGGACCTCCAACAGGCCATCCACCTTCTAGTGAAGCATCCCAAGCATATGGGAACAAGCTCTAGGATATATCTAATGAAAAAAAAAACATGGGAAATGGATTAATAGGAATCCCTCAAAGTCACTTGCTTGAACAACTACAGTGTTCCTCCTTTGAAAGCCCATTTGCTTTTTTAGCTGAGATTAAGCAGGCCATTCTCAATATCTTGTCAAATTCTGCACTGTCAAATAGAGGATAACAAGCTTGGAGCAAATGGACAAACTAGAAATAGACCCATTATCATTTCCCATAGTGGCAGTGCTTTGGTAGTTCACCAAGAAACACCTAGCGGCTATGGATAAAGCTTAATGCATCACAAGCAGTGAAAATAGAATTTCCCAAAAGAAAAGAAAATCTAAGGGAAAAAAATCAAAAAAGTAGCCACATTTGTTTATTTTTTTTCCTTTTCTGTATATCAATTCTTTCTTTTTACTTTCAAAAATTGGTAAAAGCATTACTTATGCTTTCAGCACTAAAGGAAAAAAAATACCATTTCCATGTCACCCAGGAGGCTGCTTCCTAAAGACAGGAACCATTTAAGCTCCAAATGCCTTTGTAGATACTCCATTTACATACCACCAAAGTATGCCATTAGAGACCACCTATTAAAGCCCCAAATCATACTGCACAGAGCATATGCCTTTAATGAAGTATATTTTTTTCTAAATATGATTTACTTGATTTCCAGTCATTGCCTATTATAACAACTGTTCTTCTAATTAAAGATATCAGTGACAAATATCTGAAAATTCCAGACTCCAAATATCCTCCTATTAATCTATTACACCCACGCGCACAAAACAAATATGACGGAGAGGGGGCCAAAATAATCTGTAACATGTTAAAGAAGAATATATCATAGATATATCTATTTTAAGATACCAAATTCTGAACATTGGAAAGAGAAGCCTCAGGATTTTTGAATATATAAGCTATTCCATCATGTTCCATGAAACCAAAAACCTATTATGTATCAGAATCTGTTTGATTGCAGGGACTACAGTGTGACATTTGCAATGTGGTTCTCATATACCAATTAGGCCATCTTAGTTCTGTTATAATTACTCGCCCCCCCCCCCACCCACCCACCCAAAGAAATAAAAAAAAAAATGGAAAATGATATATGTACCGTGGTTTGAGTACAGTAAGTAGAAACTTGCCCTCAAGAAAATTAAGATTGACTCACAACTAGCATTTGGAAACCATACCATATGGCATGACGGTAAAAGTTAAACGTACTAATAAGTGTTCAGAGAGCAGGACGACTGGAAAAGAATCTAGAGAAGGAAGTTTAAACGTGTTTTGCAGACTTTATATTTCAATCCACAACTTACTAAATCTAATAGAATATTCCAGTCATCGTATCTCCTGGTTGCCAAGATTTCCTTGACTTGAAGAAAAGCATTCGGTGTAGTTTGCCGATTCCCACATATCAAAAGATTAATTCCATTTACGAATTCCCCCACATAAAAAAAAATGAAAAAATAAAACTTTCTTCATTAAAGCTTTCAAAAAAAAATTGACATTTTCTCTAAGTTATTATTGTACTAAAAAAGAATACACGATATTGAAAATTGGCTCCCCCTCTGCAATTCTATACAAAATGAATAGGAGAATTAAACAGATTACAAGTTTATAAATTGATCTCCCTACAATAGCAAAAGCAATTCAACCACGAACCTAAGACCCTGACCTATGAACTTGTAATTGCATTGCTACCAAAAGACCGAGCGGAAGAAACCGAAGAAGAATTCCCAATTCGATTTGCAAGAAGTTTTTTACGAATGGTAAGATATACCTCTAACTGCCGCAGTGTGTCAAGGAGGAGCACTTGTTTCTGTTTGAGGAGTACGAGCTGGTTCTGCAGCGCCGAGAATTCGTTCCTCATGATCTGCTCGCTCTCCTGAATCGCCGACTCGTTAACGCCCTCGTCCAATAGCCGCTGTCTCAACTTCTCCGTTGAGACAGAAACATTGTCTACAGGAGCCATTAGCTCGCTGTTCGACATCCGCGGGAACATGTCCTTCACCGCCTGCAATGCGTCCATCCATGCAGCTCGATCTTCCCTTGTCTCCGCTCTCAAATGCAGCCTCTTTGTCCCAGTAAAAATCGAGAACCTCTTGTCGTCCGACTTGCTCTCCCGAATTGAAGAAACCTATTAAAAGAATCAATCAAATTACGGCTGCAATTCAATTAACAACAAAAAAGAAGATATAAAACTTTTCGTTAAGGCATTGATGAACCTTGAGGTGAATTTCACCGAATGCCTTGCGACTTCGTTGGGTTTGGCCGTTCTTGGAGCGGGAGACACGACGGATCGATTCTTCACCGATGACTTTTGATCCTTTCTCAGTTTCTTTATTGACAACGATCTTATCAGGACCATGGATCTTGTAGTACGACAGAACGCCATCCTGGAGCACGAACCACCGAGGCCGCCAACCTTTCCCGTAATTCACCCACTTATTAAGAATCCCGGAGATTCCATTCCCGACGATGTCGTTGATCTTGACCTCCCGGTGATCCCCCAACAACAGCTGGGGATCGTTCGTTGACGGCGGCCTAGACGAGAAGTCGTTCGTCGACGGAACTACTCGCTGCATCGTCCGGCCGTGATCTCCGCCGTTGTTATTGCTATTCCCGCAGTTGTGGTTCACGCCGTTGCCTCGAAAGCCATTGACGTTATTGCCGTTGAGATTGACAGAAGCGCCATGAGGAGACGTATCACGGCTGCGAGTGGCGGACGGTGGATGCGGAGGCATGTCAAAGAAGTCCGTTAACGGAGATGACGTCGCTGCCTGGTTTCGTTCGGAGACGGTGGAGACGCAGCAGAAAGGATGCATGAAGGATCTGACGATCAGATCATTCCGAAACACGGAATTACTGTGCGCCGGAAGAAGACAAAGAACTAGTTATTAAAAGTTCAAAACCAATATCCGTCTTGATGGTTGCGGCGGTAGTGGTGATGGTGGTTCGCCGGAAAACCAGGCGGCGAAACTTGATTCTATTTGACGGGTAACAATGAGCAGAAATTGCGTCCTTTGAACGGTAATTTATTTGCGATCATCTATTTATATATCTTTTCCCTTTTTTTTCTCTCTTTGCAATTAGACGAGAAATCTATCTCCAAGAACAGCGATTCCGATAACTCCGCCCCCGCATGAAACTGGAAGCTGCCGGAGAGTTAAGGAATCCGGCAATTTTTCACCGGAATCCTACGACAATACGGCGACAAAGACAATCCGTGGGAACTCCCAGTCTGGCTGCCTTAAATACGCGCTCCCTGGCTGGGACATGGAAATTGGAATTTCCTATTTTCCTTTTCTCTTGTTTTTTTTTTTATTATTTTCTTCTGTAGTCTCAAATGCTTACTGCATACAAACAAGGCAACAATTTTAAAGCAATAAATACACGTTACACTTTTACAGGACTCATTTATTTCTCTACTTTTCAAAGCATAAAAATCAGCTATTTCATTCCTCAACTACCCTTGTTTTTATTGTCAACTGTGGCATTATAGTAAGAGAGTTTATTATAAAGCTGAGGATAATTTAAGAATAAAATTTTGCCTGATTTTGAAATGTCAAGGGTGTGTTTGGTTTAACGAAAAATAGATTTTAATTTAAAGAATATTTGTTGCTTTCTTGAATTAGATCCAAATGCAAGCCCAAATTTCACAGATATTGCTGCAGCGTAGGTAAGATTAATGCTCGATGCCATTTGCTAGAGTTAGCCGACGGCGCACTGACCGAGTGACAGTTGGCGAGATTTTGGGAGGGAACGCGACGTGGCGGGAGTTAATGGGGATATGGGGGATGGGGACCAGATGAGGTTCGGTTCTTTTTCGAGCGGGGGTGAGGTGGCTCTGAGAGACCGGTGCGTAGATAATTCGAGGGGGAGTTGGATAGTACGCGCTGGGTGCGTAGTACGCCTGAAACTGTTCTGCACTTCTGCAACCGTGCAAAGAGAAAGGACCCCCAACTCCCCAAGCCCAAAGCCGTCTCTACTCTCTAGTGTACAAAGCAGCATGGATTTCCTGAGATCTCGCACGCGCCTTTTTCCACTCTTTCCGCTCGAGACGGGACGGGCCAGAACTGGTCCGACCGTGAACCCGGTTCTGTCAGTGACGCATTTAAGGTAGTTAGAAACAATAAGAAAATCAATGCTCGCCTGTTTCACAACAACCAAACAGTGCTAGATATGAGCCAGTACCTGACTGACGGCACAGCCAGAAGGCCCAGAACAAATTTGACCAGCTCATGTGGGCCAGGATTGGTTCAGAGAAACGGCTCATCGGCTATCTTCTTTACCATTTTTTCGATTTGATGGTTCAGGAATCATCGGGCTATGTGCTCCGCACCTTCCATCACCGTTGATGATTGATCAACACTTACTATGGATACCCGCATGTGGTAAAGGCCGTAAGGATAAGCCGGTAAGGCTTCAGAGACAGGGAACAGAAACGAAGGAAGTACAACATTTTACAGCTACAGTGCCAGGAATTGGTCCGCTCTGGGCGGGCTGACATCAGTCTGTCATTCGATGGGACCTGAACCGGGCTATGGGATTCCCGATGAGCTTATGCAAACCTAACCGGGGCCCATTTACGTAGCCCATACTAAAATAAAACACCGGACGACGATCACTACCGTCCAAACGGTATCGCTTTTTGTATTCTATGCTAAAAACACCAAACGACGATCACTACCGTCCAAACGGTATCGCTTTTTGCATTCAATGCTTAAAACCGTCCATTTCGGTTGCGTTCTAGAAGGTAAACGAAAGCAACCGCGGGGAGGCATATGGAATCTCACGCTCAAATGATTCGATCCTACGGTCTGCCGACTCTGGCGCCCCAGGTTTCTTCGGTTCTTCGTTTTTCTTTAATTATTAAACTATTGTTCTTTTCTACGATGTGAGAGCACGTGTGATCAATGCCGAGTGGTCGCTGTCGGTCCCTCGCAGAGAAGCGGAGTAAGGTGGGGACGCACCCGTGGTTCCGTATACCATGACGCACACGATCATACAGAGGGTGGTAGAGTGCCGTGCTATGGTGATGGTTTGACCGGTCTTCCGTCAACTGTACTGTGACGACGTGGCAATTACTTGGCAGTGATTTGAGTGGGTCCCGCGTACTGTTCAATCTTTTACCGCGCGATGATGATGCTTGATTTGGGTGGGGTGGAGAGGGCGAGAGGTGGCGTAGTGGGGTGGCAGAGCCGCGATAGTACGGGAAAACTACGGGGGACAAGAGGTTTTCTACAGTACCAGACTTATTGGTAATTTGTACGTCCAAACGGTGTATAGAGAGAGACACACACGTGTCGAGCGAAAGATTTGGACGTCGTTGGGCCCAAGGTGTGTTCGCACGTGTCTGTACGAGGTTGCACATCTTCCTAATGAGATCTCGTCACAGAAGAGTATGTGGTACATCTCTCATCAGTCATTTCTCTCCTTTCTGAGTAAACTTACTTGATAGTCGATACAATGTTATCACCCTCGGATCGGATCGGACGGTCGAACCGTTTAGATGGACGGTGACAGCCAAAACAAATGTTTGGACTTTCCGGTTCTTGGAAATATTGACTTTAACAAAGTTATCCAAAATAAACAAGGCTTAGTGCATGTTTTGTAAGGCATCTAATAGACCAAGCCGCCGTGGAGTTGAAGACTATCATCGACGACTGAAGGAAGAAGCCAATAAAGATGCTAATTGATTAACAAATCAAGCCCATAATAATTCTTTGTACTCTGGTTTGATTTCTAGAGCTTTAACCTTTATTAGCTATTTGAATTATTGGGGACTTGCTAGTCTCAGAGCTGTATAGCCCCTCTTGTATGTATCTTCCGTTTTATAAAAAAAAAAACTGCCTACATGATCTGGTCGGGTGGTTGAACCAGGCGGTTACCTTTGTTTTTATGTTTTGTTTTTTTGCAAAAACCCATTGATTTAGCAAGTTTGGGTGCCCGGTTGAGAGGACTGAACTGCAGCGACTTCTCAGTCCACTTATAATCTATGTTTGGTGAAAAATCTTCTGCTATCAATTAATTATTTTAAAGTAAAAAGAGGGTTTCAACATTTATTTAGCTGTATTGACTGAACCACTTCAGACAAGTTATCAAAACTAGCTTCATTGGAAAGTGGAGTTCAGATCTGCGCCCCATGACAGAGTGCCCCACAATGTTCGATAGTGCATCCCACCGTGTATTGGGAACATCTTCTGATGATAACACCAGACCCAATGATGTCAATATCGAGAGGTATTTCCAATACAAAGCGAGGATGCACTATGGGATGTTGTAGGGCGCCCCGTCATGGGGCACAGATCTAAACTCTGGAAAGTGATTTCTCAGTTCAGTACATGCTTTTTTTAAGGGGGGGTCTAGGTTTTTCACCAAACACAGCTGCTTTCATGTGGAGCCTAACATGCAGCCCCTAAAGCCACTATATGAAAGCCCTCCCAAACAGGCAGAGCTGTCTACTTTAGCCTCTTTGAAAATTTAAAGACTCATTTGAGAGGACTTCAGCTTTGATCTAGATGCTTTCACTGAACCACCTTGAAGAAGCTACTAAAACAAGCTTTATTGAAAGGCTGATTTTTGGACTGATATAAGACCTATACACTATTTGTGTGGAGCCCATCTCATAAAGCTAGAAGCCGCTGAGGAAATGTAATAGACCCTGAATAGCTGAATACAGCTGAACCAGTGCTGTAGCTTGTAATAATGAAGAATTACTAACCATAATTAGTACATGGTAGATAAGGCATCGTGTCAATAAACAGTTGGAGCTGTCCTTGTGAACATGATAGACCCCAACCATTCAGTCAAAAAGCTCATGTGAGATTCAAATAATGCAGCCTAAACAGTTTTACTCACCTGTTTAAAGAAAGAAATTCAATCCGGTTGCACTGTGACGTGCCTTCACAAGCAACAATCAAAACCCTAATTCAACCCAAAAAGGAAGAGAATGATGAGAAGGGTAGAAACCTGCAATCATCTCAAAACCCTAATTCTTTACAGTGCCTGTGCCTGTGCCTGTGCTTCACCTTAACTGATGCTGTTGTCTGTCCCTCATGAAAATATGTCTGTTCAGTCTTGTACAATTCACAAGCTTTTGCTTCATTGTGAAGGTCTGGTGTAAAATCTTGTAGTTCAGGACTCAGGAGAAAGATGCATTTTACTCCATTTCGATAGTAATGGTAAGTAGTTTCGTTCTCTTGTAAGAGGACACACGTGACATGATATGCTGTAAATGGATGGCAGAAAAGGAGTCTCTCAGTTTTTACAATTTGTGTTGATTGAATGGAACTTACTTAGGTAGTGTTTGGTAACTGCTGAAATATAGGCATTGAGAGTAAAGAATTTGGTTGCAGGGCAAATTTCATTTGTAATAGCATATAAATGCACGGGAGTGCAGTGGTTTTTGAGTTAAAAAGAATTCTGGTGAGAGGTAAAATAGTTAGTAAAATTATGTGTTCCCTATCTAAGGCTGTGTTTGGATGCAATACAAATAAATTTGTACTGATGCAAAATTATGGCAATGCAAATGATTTGAGTACAAACTTTGATCTATTTTTGTTTAAAATTGTAGTTTACTTTGTTTGATTGCAGTACAAATAAAATAAATTAAGACATGAAGCAAAATAAAGTAAAACCCAAAACAAAATTAAACAAGAATTTGCATTTTTTTTATTTTCATTTCCATACATTTATACTAGTGCAAATAAAATCGCATTGCAACCAAACACAGCCTAATTTACAAGAAGATAGAGGCAAGATGTGGGTTATATTTAATTAGTTTCAGAGTGAGGAAGGAGGCCAGGGGCACGTTTGTGCCTAGAAAATCATAACATTAAATTAGCACCGGTTCTATATACATTTTTATTCTTTTTTTAAACCAACTAAGTGCCATTAGGCACCACATAGACCAAAAAGTTAAAAAAAAAAAAAAACGTTAGTACCATTGCGAATAAAAACTCGTTGTAATGGTAGCTAACTAGGCATTTATATCAAACAAACAAGAAAAATAGGTGATTAAGTACCATTATTGTATGGCGTTAATGACTTAATGTGACACTTTTATTAAAAATAAACAGCAATCATGCCAAACACCTATTGATGTCGTTTCCACTTTTCACTTTATATTAGAGAGAATTAAGGTAGGAGAAAGGGGTATCAAGGTTGTGTTTGGTACTATTGCCATTTTTACCTTAAACAAAATGCATTTGGTTGATTAATACACATTAATGGTGAGACATCTGAGATGTCATGTCACATGCGAGAGTCACTTGGTTCAATTAAAAAATGCATGTGTTTTACTAATCATTCATCACCTTCAAATTTCAACATTTAAA